AACATCTTCCCGTAAAGACTGTGACAAGCCGGGGGCTTTGCTGATGTTGCCGGTATTCCTCTTGACACGGCACGACATTGCTGATGTCCTGTCCTCTTCGCGAGGCTCTGAATAGGCCCCGTTTTGTTGACACATCCCAGGAAACGCTTAAATGTTTGATTTATGGGCTGTTGGTGTTTACATCCGCTGGCCTAAACCCAACCATGGCCCATGTCTTGCTGCCTGCCACCGGCGCTGATTAATTCCACCAGCCGCGGCATCGTGAGTGTAAACAGCCATGTCGTGTTTGTTTTAATTTAACCAGCGCGTGATGTTTGCATTGCATTTCAGACATTTCAGTTTTTATGGTGCGTACGCAAGAAGGAGTGCTTGCAGATGAAAGCGGGCACTTTGCCGGGAAGTCCGGCCCCTCTAAGTGCTCTGTGCGGCTGCTCGTCGGAATACTTTGATTCATTTTGTGCCGTTTGACGTCTTCCTGGAAAAAATCAGGTGAATGGTATGTCCAGAGTGCCACGGGAGATAATGGTATCTGGGACCTGAACCTGTCCTCATCCTTAACCAGTACCCTGTCTGCTGTGGTCTCCACCCTCAGAATAGTGACTCTCCTGCTCCGGCCAGGGCACCCCGTTTCCCCCTTGCCCCCCCCCCCCCCCCCCCATATGATCCCTTCTGGGTTTATTTTCCCTCTCAGTCTTTGTTTCTCACTCTGGGCCTGTTTGTAATAATCCTTGTGGCTTGGTTTTCTTGCGCCGTGAAATATTACGCTCTGCGCCGCCCTGCGATGTGCTATTATTAAACGTCCTACTTCTCCCAACACGAAAGCCATCCGAATAAAGCGAGATGCCCGGGCTCCTCGCTCGCTGCCAGAGGGAGCCGCATCGATCGCCCGGGATCGCGTTTCCTCATGATGTCCTGTTAGCGATGGAGGGGGGAGGACCCAAACATCGTTCCATCTCGTTACCCGACCTCCAGCCCCGCTGCATCCCGTTGCCATGGAGATCTGCCACAAGCCATCAGGCTGGAGGGGACGCGTGTGCCACTGCACGCCCGGCCCTGACCCCCGACTCACGGCCCCTCCGTCTGCAGATGTTTGCTTCCTGTTTGCTTCCTGGTCCCATCCATCCCAGTATCTGAATGTTTTATCTGAGACTCCAGTTATTTGAGACGTCCATCACTGTGAGAAGACATTAACGTCAACAAGCAGCGTTTCCCAATACAGAACGTTAGATATAAAGTGTTTTGAGCACGTCTGAGAGCAGGACGGCAGCGCAAGCCTCAGCAGTCGAGCGGCTCTGTTACCCGCGGCCCCGAGAAAAAATTTTTGTCACTGTCACTGACCACATGGGACACGGCTGTCCCCTTTCTCTGGCCGTGGTTATGGGACACAGAAGTACAGTGAAGTACAGCTTTTAGCAGTAGAGTATGTGTCTGTGCTGTGAATAATTCTCAGAGGATGAGGAAGTGAGGTTATAAAATCTTTAAACACTTTTTGAATGACAGGAAACCTTGAAATTTAGTTGGAGGGGATCTGGACCGAAAATACACCCCACCTAATCGCCTGTGTGAGAGGTTATGGGGGGGGGCTTCATTGCAGTGCAGTGCAGTGCATTACAGACTGCAGGGGAGATTGTGTGTGTCATTGATCTGACCGCCTCATGTGAGAGAGGGTGGTCTGTGCCTCCTTAAGAACTCAGGTGCTGGGCGGATGTCAGGGCGGGTCGGCGCTCGGGGGAATGTCTGCCTGTCTAAGGCCGTCACAGAGGGTTAAGTATCCCAAACTCTGCCCAGATTGTCGTGACCACGCAATCAGGATTGTGTCCCTGCGCTTCTCAGCTGCCGTCCGGCCGAGTGACGGGCAGGAATCCTCGCTGCCGGTTCTGCTTCACCAGCCGAGAGCCTCTTTCACAACAGCGGCTCGGAATTTGGGCTAATAAATAATAAATAAGTCATCCGGAGGAAGAACATAAAAGCTCACGGAGTTAATTTGCGAACCACTTTTAACAATAATTGCTAAGATGCCTGGTTAATATTTAATGACCCCCCCCCTCATGTATATATATCCTATAGATACCCTTTTATAGGCTCAGCATTGGTGTCTCATTTGGGGACGCGATCCGCTTCCTAGAAATGATGCCGGTTGTGGAAAGGGTCGATTCCCGCTCTGCCCACAGGTAAACACACTGGGGCTGTGCAGCCTCTCTGTGCCTCACATTCCTCCTGCCTGAACCTCTGCACCCCCTTGTTGGGGCACCCCGCCAGCTCGCGGCCATGATCGCCGTCCCCGTCCTCAGCCATTTGAAACAGGAGGAAACGCTTCACTTTCCTGAAAATATTCTCTGAAATATGAAGGAAAGAACATGCGGGCGTAAAATGCGGGTGGCGACCTAGTGCATGCGGGGGGGGGGCTGCTATGGATATCGATGGAAATGTTATTACTCTGCTAGTATCACAGCGACACTCAAGATAAATGATACATCCATATACGCTACAGCTGTGAATATTGCCCATGCATAACTGACTTCTCACTCTGGGCTACTCAGTAATGCAGCACTACGCCAAGTCAGACCATGGAGAGGAGATTAAACTGACCCGTCACGTGCGGTTATGTAACAGTGAGAGACCTGACTGTTAACTACCTGCTTCGTGGAATTTGACCGCAATGTCACATGCTGAACAGTAGGGGTCCCTGTTTCATCTGAACACAGTTCTTATCGACCAGTAGAACATGGTCGCTTTCTGTGGTGTGTTTTTAAAGAAAGTTTTTCAGTAGGCTTGGATGCAGTTTATCCAGTCAGAGGGATTTTTTTGTGGCATTAAAGCAGCTGATTCATGTGCATGAAGGGCTTGAGCAGACTGGAGTTACGCTGTGTAGCTTAATAAACAGTTAAAGAGTAAACAGAGCCCCAAAGGAACAGCTCTCAGACGCATGCAGTCACGTCAAATCTCATCCCCCGCTGACGCACTCAGAAAAACATCCGGCTATTTACCTGCAGTAGGCTGCAGTGACCTGCTCTACTCCTTTCGGAAAGATGGCCGTTCCTGTTTTGACTGAATATCTGTTTGACCTCAGAGACCGTGAAAGATGCGATGTGCCAGTCTACCACATGTGCTGCTCTGCATGTGTCATTCTCCGTGCCGATGTCAGACTGCGTGTTTGTGACGTGTACGCAGCCCCAACACGGGGTCTGCTCTCCGCCCACGTTGGCTTACAACAGAAACAGGAAGATGGAAGTTTCCTCCCATCAAAAATGTGAAACATATAAACGGCAGCCGTGAGACGGGAGCAAAAACGTGCTGGCGGGAGATTTATTGGGCCGTATGGAGCTGGAGGTCACCCTGTGGGTCAAAGCAGATTTGTAGCTACAGCAAAGGGTTATCGCTCTATCTGTCTGTGGCTTGTCAGTGTTTTATAAACAGAGTATCTCTGAAGCTAGTTTTTATCTTTAAACTTACCAGGGGTGAGTTTCCTGAAGCCTTCTTAATGCTATGTCATTCGTCATCTTTTAGCCTAGAACTAACGAACGGCGTAGCATAAAGAAGGTTTCGGGAAATTCACCCCGGAGCCGTAATACTGGTAACATAAGGCAGTGCTCAGTGAGTGGTTCGCTGTGTTTGCTCTCATGACAACTAACTGCAGCATAATTATAGTAGTACCCACTTAACCAGCCGAACAGATTATTTAGCTAAGTCAATATGCAGCTGTGTACATAACTAGAAGGACCTTCTTATGTACATAACCAGGAGGATCTTTGTATGAATCTTCCCCAGAGGCACGCCATTACGGCTGTTTGCTGTTTTTTCATGTGACTTTGGAGAGATTCAGGCTTGATTTTTTTCCACAGGAAAGTGTCTTTGGGGGGGCGGTGCTGCTTATGTGACAAAGAATCTCCTTATCAGCCTGCAGAACACAGCGCAGGGAGTCCGGGCCGCGGTCGTTTCCGTCCACACAGGAGAAGTAGGGCCTTTCCTCCTTAGCCCCGCCCACAGCGCCGGTAGCAGGCAGGCAGACTTGGTAAATGAGTGTCGGGAAGCTCTGTGCGCTCTTAGGCTCCTTGGGTTGAATCAGGTGTCCATGGTTCAGATCCATGCACATTTTTTACCTTTTATTCCTTTAGCAAATGTTTTTATCCGAAGCGATGGAGATTTCAGAAGGCAGGGTGAGACAGGGCCTCGCTCAGGGGCCCAACAGTGAAATCCCTCTGCAGACCCTGGGATTTGAACCTGCGACCTTCTGATCACAGGCATCGTGCTGCGAGTTATGTGCTGAGAGATCCTGACTTTGCTCCTGTGGAAGAGTGATTAGCTTGGAGCTTGGAGATGCTTTAGTCATCATGAAGAAGTGATGTAATGTACCAAGAATGCTGGTGGACAGGCCAGCAAAGCCCGTCTGTTACTAACAAGTAAAAGATGGTTTAAAAACACAGAGAAATGCTAATTAGTAGCTGATGTTGATGAGAAATTGAGGCTCCATTATGAAAGTGCTTTAAATGCGATGCGTGATGTCCGTCTGTGTTCTAGTCACCGTCATGGTGCCGCGATGATGGTAGGCCGCCTTGCTGTCACGTTTTCTACGTAACTGTGATCTTTTATCTTTTATTTCCTCTGTCATTTGCTCAAGTATGTGAAAGTATGTGAAAATAAACACTCTCTCTGTGTCAGCAGCTACTGTGACCAACCACTGTGACCAGTCACTGTCGCTGGTCACAAATTAGATTGTCCATGTGACCCCAGAAATATGTACTCTGCGTTAAACGTTGAATGAGAATTTTAATCTTCCAATCTTAACTAATTTTTCTTTTTTTGTGTTCTGTAATAATTTTGTGATGTCTCAAAAAAATTTTCCACTAAATTACCACAGCGAGTTTATCTTTGATCACGAAACGCAGAAATTGGCATGATGCACGTCTTGCAAAATTAATAGCGCACGTGTGATTTGTATAACTGTAGATGACAGATATAGACCATCATAAGTGTAAAAGGAAACGCGTCGCGTTTTGCAGATTTACCAAACTTTTGAAAGGGGCGGGAGGGGGCCTGCGTGGGGTGGAGATTCCTGGTGGCTGGAGCGGGGCACCGTCCCTCCCGCCGCAGCGCACAGCACCCCGTGACCCTAGGCTGCGATCTCCAGGAAGAAATGACAGAGCCGGCGGAGCCCGCGGAGCGCCGAGGAGGCTGCAGCGAGCGGCCGGCCTGAAATGCGCCTCTGGCCGATGCGGCGAGGCGGACCTGACGGCATCGAGCGCATCTACTATCGCAAGAGCGGCATTTGAGAAATGGGCCAGACGTACCTCTCCACTTTATCCCGCGGCGCCAGCGGTGAGTTTTATTTCACGCATCTCGGTCGCGACGCAGGGACGCGCACAACCGCGGTCCCGCCGCCGCCGGTCCGTTAGCCAGGTTAAAGATCGTGGGGGTTCAAGTGAACCGGACCCGGTTCGATATAGATCGGGACGTTAAGCCATTTTTAGACGATGGGGAAACAAACTCGAACAGACGGTCAGCGGCGACGCGGGGGCAAACGGGGAGTTTTGCAAAATTATTTGGAAGTTTTAAAAAGTGTAAATTCTGTTCATATTGCTTTTCAGAGTTGAGATTCTTCTTTTATGCGGGTTTTTTTAAACAGCAGATGTTCTCTGGGTTGTTTTTAGGAAAGGTAGGCGGAACAGCGGAAACCAGTTTGGGGCTATAGCCTTACCCACCCCTGGTGAAGTTAGAAAAGCACATTAAGGCGTTAGAAAGTGCGGGGTTTTCGGAAATATTAAGGTAAAGTAACCCGAAATCAACCGCTTTCCCCCGCAGTCGGAGGTCTTTAGGGCAGCTGCCGAAAGCGAAAGGACTAGGAGCTCCGGCTCTCGGTGAAATTAACGTGAATCCTCCCTGTTTATATGCACCGGGCTTGTGCTGTGATGCCGAACACTGATGCCCGCTTAAAGCTGCCCTTTATATCCACACGTCGATTCTGAGCCTGTTGACTTCTTGCGTGCTACATGTAACCGGGTTTTGATGGTAACAGCTACTGTACAACTGACTACTGTAAGGTCTGTTTGCTGTCTGAAACGGACAGAAATAATCGGAAATGCGGAGTTCCTGTCCAAAATAGACACCCTTATGGTATGGAGGCTCTGGAATAATCCATAATAAATTAAGCCAAGTTCGGCAGCGATTTCATGAAACGGTTCCGAAGGGATTATGAGCTGTTTGTATGGATAAATGTGCCTTTAAGCATAAACTGAGTCACCTCCTTAGGAGTCAAAAACAGGGCAAGTCTTGTATTCCTGTGGGGAGGCTCACAGCCTCTACAACAGTTGCCTTTTCAGATTGGATTTAGCGTGAGGAAACATCTCGAAGGACAGACTTAATCCCCTCGAGTTGCTTCATCTCCTCGCTGGTCCATCTTAAGTGTTAAATGGAAAAAAGAAACTTAACGGTTCTTAGAATGATTCATCCGCCGTGTATATTTTTAACACCATGTTATCTGTCCAGTGTTTGCTATGTGGAATATGCGTGTGACGCTGTCCTACGTTTTAGTTTTATTACTGCAGTTTGTGGTTCATATTCGCCTTAATAGGGACCCGCTGCTTGTCTGCTGTGAACCTTCCGTGTAATAAAAGCGTAATAATAAATTTGCGTGGGACGGTGTCACGGGTCATTTTTATCCAGGCAGGTTCACGTTCCGAATGCCAGGGTG